AAGGTATTTCTTTTCTGGTCTAGTCTATTTGGAATTTTCTAGGCTTTTTATATGTTCATAGGCATCTCTTTCTTTAGGTTAGGGAAGTTTTCTTCTATAATTTTGTTGAAGATATTTACTGGCCCTTTAAATTGGTAATCTTCACTCTCATCTATACCTATTATTCTTAGTTCTGGTCTTCTCATTGTGTCCTGGATTTCCTGGATGTTTTGGTTTAGAAGTTTTTTGCATTTTGCATTTTCTTTGACAGTTGTATCAATATTTTCTATGATATCTTCTGTACCCAAGATTCTCTCTTCTACTTCTTGTATTCTGTTGGTGATGCTTGCATTTATGACTCCTGATCTCTTTCTTAGGTTTTCTATCTCCAGGGATAACTCCCTTTGTGGTTTCTTTATTGTTTCTACTTCCATTTTTATGCCCTGGATGGTTTTATTCAATTCCTTCACCTGTTTGGTTGTATTTTCTTGTATTTCTTTAAGGAATTTTTGTGTTTTCTCTTTAAGGGCTTCTACCTGTTTACCTGTGTTCTCTTCTATTTCTTTGAGGGATTTATTTATGTCCTTCTATCATCAAAATGAAAATTAATTTTATATCAGAATCTTGTTTTTCAGTGTCATGGGGTATTCATTACCTGCTATGGTGGGAGAACTGGGTTCTGATGATGCCAAGGAACTTTGGTTTCTGTTACTTATGTTCTTGTGCTTGCCTTTTGAAATCTGGTTATCTCTAGTGCTATCTGCTCTCACTGTCTCTGAATGGAGCGTATCTGTTCTGTTATCTTGGTTGTGTCAGAACTCTTCAGAGTCCAGCTGTATCTGTAATCCTGTGATCCTCAGATCCTGAGTGTAAGAGCTCCTGGGAGTCAGGCTGCTTCTGGGACCCTGAAATCCTAGTGTGACCAAGCTCCTGATCCTATGATACTATGATCTTGGGTGTATTAGAGCTCCTCTTCCTCTGGGTTTTCTGAGATTGGGTACAGACATTGCAACCTAGGTCTGCTAAGGGCACCAGCTCAGACTGGAAGGAACCCATGTCACTTGCTGGGAGGGAGTTCCTGGATCCTCAGGAGTCCCACTTACTCTGTGTGTGGGGGGGGGGGCAGGGGGTTGTCGCGGCCTCCTCAGCTACTATCCTGGCCTTGTTAGAGCTCCTGGGATTCCAGCCTCCAATCGGTGTTCTGGGATTGGGTGCAGATCTGGTGCCCTAGGTCAGCACAGGGCACTAGTGAAGACTGGATAATGAGCTCTAGAATCTTCCGTTTAAGAAACTGCATGTTGGAAAAAGAAAAGAAAAGAAACAGCATGTTGAGGTTTACTAACACAACCATTTAAATATCAGGGTATTTATTGCCAGATTAAGCAGCAGGCAATAATAAAAGTGATTCTATTCCATAGCACTAACATTCCATGGTCAGAGTTCCAGCACCTGGGAGTGTTTAGGCAAGAGGATTATGGAGGCCAGCCTAGTCTACAAAGTCGTTGTCTGAAAATAAATAAAATAGGCAAAAAGATGAATACATTGAAGTATATATGCACAGCTAAGTGTAGTAAAATGTTAATTGTTGGTCCTGTATGTTAGCTTTATTGATTTTTACTGTAAAATCAAACTTTCCAATATATTTGGAATTTTCTGTAAAAAACAATGTAAGCAAAACTTTTCTCTGATAAAACTTAAGAACACAGCACAGGATCTCCAATTTACTTCTTATGTACAAATCATAAGTACTAGTTCAAAAACTTTAGCCCCAACATCTGCACACTTATCTTCTGCTTCTGCTTCTGACACTTTCAGAAATCTTTGGAAAGTAAGTAGATATTTGAGTTTCCATGTCCCTAAATAACAAAGAAAAAAATGGCAATGAAAAACAATTAAATCCAACCAAGAAACACAAACTCCCTGCAAACA